TACAGTAACTCCTCACTTAAAGGTTTCAGAGTAACAGCCGTGTTAGTCTGTATTCGCAAAAAGAAAAGGAGTACTTGTGGCACCTTAGAGACTAACCAATTTGAGCATAAGCTTTCATGAGCTACAGCTTCATCCGATGAAGTGAGCTGTAGCTCATGAAAGCTTATGCTCAAATAAATTGGTTAGTCTCTAAGGTGCCACAAGTACTCCTTTTCCTTTCCTCACTTAAAGTCATCCCGGTTAACATTGTTTCGTTGTTACTTTGCTGATCAATTAAAGAACATGCTCATTTAAAGTCGTGTAATGCTCCCTTATAATGTTGTGTGGCAGCCTCCTGCCTTGTCCACTGCTTGCAGGAAGAGCAGCCCGTTGGAGCTAGCTGGTGGGGGCTTGGAACCAGGGTGGATGGGTAATACCCCTAAGTTCCCTGTGAGGCAGCCACCCAGCAGACTTCCAGTTGCTGTCCCTCCCCCCACTGCTATGTGCTGCTCCTGCCTTGGAGCTGCTCCTAGGAGCCTCCTGCTTGCTGTGTGTGTGGGTGGTGGAAAGAGGGGGTTAATGTCAGGGTGTCCCCCTCCTTCCTGCTCCTACCCCCTGCTGCTTACTCCATCTCCATAGAGCAGGGGACACACAACAGGGCTCAGGACAGAGGGAGCTTGCTGATCTATTTTAAAAGGCAATGTACTTAGAGTGGAGTCAGCGTACTTAAAGGGGCAATGCACGTCTCTCTCTCTCTCTCTCACACACACAACCTCTGTGTGTGTCTGTCTGCCATGCTGTCTCCCCTCCCTCCATTTGTGCTGCCTTGTAGAGTGTGAGGCTACATTAACAATGTGTTAATCCTTGAGGGCTCAGCGGAGTGCTAGTTCATCAGCACCTCTACCAAGCTTCACAATCATCATTGCTGTGTACAGTATTACATTGTTCGTTTAAAACGTATACTCTGTGTGTGTGTGTGTGTGTATATATTATATATAGTCTTTTGTCTGGTAAAAAAAAATGTCCCTGGACCCTAACCTCCTCTATTTACATTAATTCTTAGGGGGAAATTGGATTCTCTTAACATTATTTCACTTAAGTCGGATTTTTCAGGAACACAACGGCAATGTTGAGCGAGGAGATACTGTACCATTTTTTTTCCAAACCAAAACTAAATATGCTTCACATACCTTTACCAGGTAAAAAAAAAAAAAAGTTCCTTTTCACCCTCTTACAGTATATGTAACTCTAAAACATCAACTTTTATTGGATAATATGAAGTGTAATTTACTGGACCACTAAAATAAATTAATTATGATGTGTATATACACACAATGTTGTGTTGTTTTTTTCTTAAAAGGGAATCAGTTCACTGTCTGAAATGCAAACATTAGATATTTCCACTTATAAAGTGCCAGCCTCCCCATCAACAATGCTCTGTATGTTCCCCCCACACCAAAAAAACAAAACCTGTAAACAATTGAAACAGCTTGAAATACGTATTATATAAAAACCTGGTTACATGCCAAAGATAAATCATCATCATCAGACAGTGACTGATTAAATCAGAAAGCATAACATTTCTAAAACATAATTGTTTTCAATTAATTTCTCCAAGTCAGGAGAAATCAGTTGAGGTGGTTTTCCAGTGGAAACAGTTCAGTACCCTAAAGATTGATTTTAATTAAGTGTTTTGCAATATTTTCTTTCCCAGAAAAAAAAATGAATAAAGCATACATATTTGAGTTTTAAATTTTTTGTGCATCTTTCTCCTGCAGCAGAAGAGTTTTTTCCTGACATTATTGGGGACAATGGTGCTGGAACTAGGCGTGTTGCCACACCTCCTGGCTTGAAGTAGTAATAACAAACACCAGACATATGGTTCCCATCATCAGCCCCCCACCACTATGAAAATTATTCCAGCTCCCCTTTTGGGGGCATTGAGATGGACACAGTCCTATCCACTGGGCCTGATTGTGAGAGGTTCTTAGCACCTGAAGCGCCCATTGACTCAATACTTCTGAAAAAGAAAAAAAAAATCAAACCCATACACACACACACACACAAAACCACACTCTGTATGTAATAAGGCCTATTCACAGCCATTCTCTTTGTCAGATAAGAGCTAGTTTAGTACTGAAGTGCCTGGGGTGAAACTGAGGACACTTACCCTAGAAAGTCCTTAGCTGACTGATTGTTGCTATATTCTATAACCCTGTCACAGACATCTTCTCCATAATAGAATCCATCTGTGACAAGGCAGCTCCTAAGAGAGTTATTGAAATAGTTTATTGCACCTTCCACTCTTAATTTTAAAAGCTGTTCAGGGCAGAGCGGAAACACCCAGATTCCTCTTATGTAAGATTTCACTGCAGCACAATTTCAAGGGCAGATCAAAAAGTTAGGCTATATATATATATATTCATTTTCCCTTTTAACTCCTTGTAGCAGGCCACCAAAGCATGATGAAACGCAGGTTATGCTATTGCCTCCATGCAAAAAGTAAGAAAATAAAAACAAAGTTTACCTTCTTCTTTGGTAAATGTAGTGTATTCATATCCTCAGTCCAGTAGCAAATTCCAAAGCAACAGCAGTAGGGCTTTATGACATAGAGTGTAAGGGGTCATTCACCACCTCATGCACCATCTCATGGCCAGGCATGGTGAAGTAGCCTCCATCTTTGACACCCCATATCAACAGTTCATCCAAACCTGCAGCAGTTTGCTCTTTTTCATGACTCAGCTGTCCGGCCATAGCTACTTTATAGTCACCATCCTTGCGAGGTAGCTCAGAGACCAACAAACAAGAAGTCTAATGATTATGCCAGGCCTTCAGCCCCACCCTAGGCTATCTCAATAATCCTCACCAAGTTGCATCAAAAGAGCCCTTATATCCCTTTTCCTGGTGGCAGGCAAGGGAACCTAAGCCCTCCCTGTTCTAGTCCAGGGACCCTGTACTGTGCAGCTAAAATCTGCTAACTCAGATAAAAATGATGCTTCTCTGGGTTGCTCCCTACCTTCAACTCCCAGCCCTTTCCCAGAAAAACTCATTCTACTATTTTGTACTTAGACGTTTCAATTCTTTGAGCTGCTTTTTGCCAGTTTGCTGCTACAGGGTCCACAGCAGACTCCCTAGCCATCTCCTTCTGCTCTCACCACAGCTGTTGATGGTCTGCCAATTAGCCACAGCTGAGGCGGTAGCTACTGTCTCTTAATCTCTTAGTGGTTGTGGCAGGATGGGGTTTTAACACTTTATCACACAGCCACTATACCAGAATGAAGGGGCACTTTCAGAGTGATCTTAATGTAATGTTTTGCACTGAAAATTGACTGTAAATATGCCAAAGTGACTATTAAAAAGGCATCATGATGAAGCTCAACTTTTGTCTTACCTTGATTTCTTTAGCAAATGTGTCTTCAGTTTATAAATCAACATTTCCCCCTAATTGTCAGCCATGCAAATACATTGTGGGACATGAATGCCAAGCTAGGTTTGTTTCTACTTACAATCGTCATCAACAACAGTTTATCTACAAGCTACATTTTGTCATGAATCAGAGGGATAGCCATGTTAATCTGGATCTGTAAAAAAGGCAAAGAGTCCTGTGGCACCTTATAGACTAACAGACTTATTGGAGCATAAGCTTTTGTGGGTGAATACCCACTTCATCGGATGCATGTAGTGGAAATTTCCAGAGGCAGGTATAAATATGCAAGCAAGAACCAGGCTAGGGATAACGAGGTTAGTTCAAGTTACACCTGTGAAATACCAGTTAATTTTCACCAAGAATACTTAGTATCAAAAGAATGCTTTTAATCTTCAAAGAGCTTTATCAACATTCATATTCACTACACATCTGTGAGATAGGTAATAAGCATTAACAACACCCCATATAATGAAGGAGGAAACTGGGTCAATAAGCTTAGTGACTTACCAGAAGTCATGCAAAAAGACAGTGTTAGAGTTTGAAGTAGAACCCAGGTAGTCTGAAGCGCAGGGCCCTCTAACCACTAGGCAGGGTTGCCTTATGTTACCTAAGGGTAGGTCTACAGACCATGAATGAAGATGTGATTGCAGTACAGGTAGGTACACCTGTGCTATCTTTAATTTAGTGAGCACAGGTAACAGTAGTAAGGAAGATGTGGCAGTATGGGCTTCGGCACAGGCTAGCTGTCCCAGTAGAAACATACCAGGGACCCTGGGTACATACCCTGGATTGCTAGAGCCTGCTGAAGTCCATCTTACCACACCTTCATTTGTGGTATAGATGTACTCTAAGTCAAGAAATTTCAAACGTGAATTAATTAAGACATGCAAGTTACAGTTAGAAACAAAGAATCAAAATATATGTTCCCTGCATATACATGCAGGTCATCCTCCCTATCTTAAATTCCTCTCCCATGTTCCATTCAGGGGGTGTGTTTGCTAGACAAATCTCCAGTGACACTTGATATGGAAAGACATTCAATTACGGCAGAACTTGCATCTCTAGTGCAGCTTTGTTGGCTATTTCGGGCTGAACAGTGTTTGTGAGAATAAAGCCCATAATGGAGACTGAGGCAATTAATTCCATCATGCATTAAAGCTTTATTTTAGGCTGGTTGTAAAAAAGTGGAGGGCTAACAAGGTGAGATTTACAGTTGTGGTCATTCAAGTGTCAACATTTGACACCAGTTACTGTGCAGCGGTATCTGAGATTACCAGTTTCCCTCTGTACTTAGAATAGGAGGTAGCTGTAGTAACAGTGTGATTAGCTTTTTAACATCTTGTAATGTAAGTGTCATATGACAAATGGCAGTGATAAAAATATGTAGGAGCCTGTGATTATAAAGAGCTGAAGGGACACCTGCCCTGCCCTATCAGCAACATGTTAAACCATGTTATGTGTCACTAGGTTTAATTCCCCAGTAAGACACACCAAGAGATACAGCCAGAAAAAACACAACATAAGGAAAAGTATGAAACCTCCTTCCTCTCAAACACATACCTTTATCAACCTGTTTATTCATCTTTTATTTCTTCTCCTTCTTTCTGCATCCCAGCTCTCTTCTCTTCTCTTCCTCCTTCTTTTATCTTGTGGGGACCATCTGTTTGTAAATAGCCAACATTATTTCAAGCTGCATTAAGAGGGCCAGATTCTGAAGTGGTGTAAGGCAGCTTAGCTCAGTTTGACCGAGCTTTGTCAATTTGCTCAAATTAGAGATCTGGCACAGAATCTTTATTTGAAGGCTTACGAGCTAGTACTCTGCCTCTACTTCTTGAAAGAATTGTGGGAAAGTATTTTACCAGCTAACTTTTATAGCACATTAGAGCTGAAACATGACAAGGTATAGCTGCTATAGTTTTTTAAAAAGTCTAGTAGCATTATACTAAAGTATTTAAACATTAAATGTAGTGCTGCTGCATGCAACTGTAAAAGTGAAACTGTACTGTATAGACACGGCTGCTCAGCACGATGAATCCACTTGGAGAACAGTTTTACTTATTCAGATTCCTCCCCCCCTTCTTTAAAATGTATTCATTTAAGATAAACCACATGACTAAAACTGAAAAAAAAATGCAGATGGTCTAGGCCCCAATGAGGGGTCAGATAGTCCTCTCGCATATGAAAAGTGATGGAAAGTAATTTTTAAATGGAAAAATCCTGATAGAATCCATCCTGGAAACCACCTCCTGTAATAACCAGCTCATTTACCTTCTCTGGAGACAGGTGTGCCACTGGGCCTCAGTTTCCCCTGTGGTCCAAAGTCTGCCTCTTCTGGTGGGATGGTGTGTGATTTGAGTTAGCCTTCTAGCTAATTTAGGAAGCTAGAAGAAAAAAAAATCAACAGTCTAAAATAAACACTGGCTTTGGCCAACTGTTCTTCATCCTCTCCAGGGAACAGTTCTTTCCCAAGAGTCCATCTGAACTTCAGCCATAATAGCAGGCCTCCTAAGAATTCTTCTTCCTCTGACTGTAGAGTCCAAACTAGACAGTACCTGCGTGACCCTCTGACCACGCCAGTTCCACAGTCTCCAGCTCTCACCCGACTACAGTGAGGAGTGGATACTCTTTGGAGTAATCCACCACTGTCTTACACACACACACACCCTCTTCTGGTTCTTATTTATAGAGATACTTATAGCTTCTGTCCTTTCTCAGATTTCTTCCTTCAGAAGAAAATAAAGCTGTATCCATTCTCAGCCACAAGTTTCTCCTAGAATTTTCCCGGACTTTCTCAGACAAAGCTCTACTTACAGCTTTCTGTGCTTCTTGCTGACTAGTAGAAGCTCTTTTATTTCCCTGGCCTTTTTTACAGCGTGCATTGCTGCCGAGTCTACAATTCCCAGGGTCCTTCTAGGAACTACACCTTATCTTGGTCGATGCTGGACTGGGTCATGTGTGGATGGTAGGTTTCCTTAAAGGTACTATGCTCCCTCCATTATAGACACCAACATCCTGACAGACGATGCAGTTTCTCCCAGTGGAAAAGCTGAACCCAGTCTGGGCGGGGTTGGGGGGTGAATACACTGAAAAGTTAATACTGCTAAGGACAGTATTATTTTTTCTGGATAACTTCAGTGTGTCCATGAGTCAACAGCGTGCCCTTGTTGCCAAGAAGGCTAACGGCATTTTGGGCTGTATAAGTAGGTCCATTGCCAGCAGATCAAGGGATGTGATCATTCCCCTCTATTCGGCACTGGTGAGGCCTCATCTGGGGTACTGTGTCCAGTTTTGGGCCCCACACTACAAGAAGGATGTGGAAAAACTGGAAATAGTCCACTAAAGGGCAACAAAATGATCAGGGGGCTGGAGCACATGACTTATGAGGAGAGGGTGAGGGAACTGGCATTGTTTAGTCTGCAGAAGAGAAGAGTGAGGGGGATTTGATAGCTGCTTTCAACTACCTAAAAGGGGGTTTCAAGGAGGATGGATCTAGACTGTTCTAAGTGATACCAGATGACAGAACGAGGAGTAATGGTCTCAAGTTGCAGTGGGGGAGGTCTAGGTTGGATATTAGGAAAAAACTTTTTCACTAGGAGGGTGGTGAAGCACTGGAATGGGTTACCTAGGGAGTTGGTGGAATCTCCTTCCTCAGAGGTTTTTAAGGTCAGGCTTGACAAAGCCCTGGATGGGATGATTTAGTTGGGGATTGGTCCTGCTTTGAGCAGGGGGTTGGACGAGATGACCTCCTGATGTCCCTTCCAACCCTGATAGTCTATGATTCCATGAGGAAGGACAATAGGCATCTTCTATTCCCACCTGTGGGCCAGTCATTCCTCACACTGGTACTGCTTCTGCTAATGTGGACTTCAAAGATCACTGAGAGTCTTCCACTCAGTCCCTCATGGTGCACTGGTGTAGTAATAGTGCTGGAGAAGCTTCTGGGCTGCGCCCTTTTGAGTGAGGAGTAAGGAAGATCCACACATGGATGTAGAGGGCACAACTGACTTCTAATTCTATGAATATCTCGTTTTCCTGTCCTTGGGTTGTGTTTTTTCTGCTTGTATTTCCTCCTACAGTGTCTTACATAGAGCCTGATTGTTACCCTGTTACAGTACCGAACACCCAATGCCAGATGTATAGATATATCTCATCTTAGAAGTGACCTTTCTGGTTATTTTTTCAATGTCTTTGCTTCATTGTTTTGGGATATGTGTCTGCTATTGCAAGCATCAGCTTTCTGAGAGTTATGCTTGGAAAGTTTAATAAATGAGATCCCTTTTCTAGTGGGGGTGGAGGGGGGTGTCCCACTGCTTGATTATACCCTGGTATAAAAGTTTCTGAAAATGTGCTGTGAGAACAAAATTTACTTACATTCTGAAAGATGGTTGTGTTTCCTTATTACTCTAAAAGTGTCACTGGAGTTCTTACAGGCTCAACCCAGGCTTTTCATCAAGAATCTCTTCCAGAGCTGGGAAGGAAAAAATCCTTTTCCTCCCAAGGTTATGGACAAAAAGAGGGCTATTCTGTGGCTACTAGCCCAGCCTCATGGATGGAATAGCCTCCATACTGCATGTTCTCTAACAATCCATCGTCTGTCTGTGGGTGGTGGTTTGAAGAATGGGTGTATGTAACTATGCCCCTCTCACAGCCCACTCTTGCCCCGCCTGAAATTTCCACTGTGTGTGGAGATGCAATGATATGGAATCCACTCCTACATGAGGGCATGACCCAAAGTCAATTAGAGTTAATGAAAATATTCCCAATGACTTTAGTGGGTATTGCGTTAGGCCTTAAATGCATCTCTTGACCAGATTCCAGAAATCCTAAATACCCTTTTGCAGAAGAACTGCACTGGTTTTGCCAAAGGAAGATATGGAGACAAGATATGTCCCATAATGAAAAACAAAATTTGAATAGCTCCTTTTTCTTTCTTTCTTTTTATGAGGGTCATGGCTAATTTTAAAACTTAATAAATGTCAAGTGCTTTCTGATGCTTACTTTGTGAAACACTGAACTCCTAAATTATACATTACTTTATTTCGTATCTATTTACATGGTAATTGGCATTGTATAATGCATGAAATATCATTTCACTGAACTCAAATCTAATTTTCGGTATTGCCCTGACATATATTTTATTATTAAAGCAATTTTAAATTGCCCTTTGTGTATTTATTCAATAGCTATTTTCACAGAGGTAACCTGCAATGTTGGTTTTGTGGCATTAGTGGTCTGTCTGAATTTTTTCTGCCTAACATTATTTTTCCTCAAGGTGGCACTTAATCTAGCATCAAAAACAGCTAGGGACCAGAATTTAAACACTGAGAACACAGACTGTTGCTGCCCCCATACTTTCCCCTTTTACTTCAAAACAGAATTTAAAAGAGAAATATAATATCCTAATCTGAGAAAAGAACCACACAGCCTCAGAACATTAGATTCAGGGCAGGGGCGGGGGGCAATTACTGTTCAATTTTTGCAATCGGTGTGAGCCTTTGTGTAGGCTGCGCTAGAGGCTGGATCAAATACATTGCAGAGCCCAGAGACAATTTTCTTCTCAGGTATTTAGAATGGATGAGTTGGGGGAAAAATATTTTCACAACAGATAGTTCCCTAGAGGTATTTTTTCAACACCAGGCTTTTTTTTTTTAACAGGCAGATTTTCAATCTCATGGTAACAGGTCATATGACACAATTTTAAAGCTAGATTCCAAACCCTGAATTTATCAGCTGTTATCATTTTAACTGGCCTTTCTTTTCCAGGATGTTGCTGAAGACTTGCACAGTAACAACGCTTAGCAAGACTCAGGCCATAATAGTAAATAAAAATATTTATCTATTATGACTCATCACCACTATTGACAGTTGAGCCTGATTGCACACTGAAAATGATGTGTTGTGTTTTGGTGAATTACTTATAATCCAAACATTCAGTGTAATGTACTTGGCTCATTGCTGCACATGAGGGGATAGGTTGCTTTTTCACGCATTAGATTGGTCCACGCAAAGGAATGTGTAATTTCATGAAAAGTTAAACCCCTTTCAGTCTCAGTGACACACCCTGTGTTTGATTTATGTTAATCTTACCTTCCTGCTTTTGTGTCATCCCGGTCAGTCTCTTTCCCCTCACAGAAAAAAATCTCTTGCTACTTCCCTTCCTCCGTGGCTCTTTAGGTGAAGCTTGCATCAGATGAGAGGCATTAAAAAAAAAAAGTCAAGGACTCTACGGTGTTTGCACGCTACTTTTAAATTATTCCAATTTCTATACAATCAATAAACTTAGTATGTCCTTTCGGTCATAAAGTATTTCCAGGAAAATGATCTTAATATCAGTTTGTTTTCTCAACAGTGCTGCCTCTCTCTTTGATTATAGTTACGAGAATATCCCCCCAATGTTAGCTAGGTAGATGTTTGGTCCCACCAGCAGGATAAAGAATCCTTAGGACTCTGAGGTCTGAGGGGAGTGGGGTGGCTGCACATAAGCATTCTCCCCATTCTCTTTAGAATACACACAGAGATGGGTGGGAACAGACGCAGGGAAGGAGGAGAGATTCCTCCCCTTCTCTGTGCTGACTGGCTGGGCTATTTGTTTGTGTGGGAAGGGGGGGAAGTGGAGCTGATTGTCTCTCATCCTCCTTTCTATCCTCTATGTGAAGCTCTCAAGGCATGAAGCAGCCATGCTGCTGTGGTTGCTATCCCACCCTCCCTGCCTTTTGACAGAGGCGTTGTTTGAACTATGTTTTAATGGATGGATTGCCAGATGTTGGAATCAGGAAGCAATTTTTCTCTCAGAGTAGGGTTGCTAAGATATCTGGTGATTTTTTTTCTACCTCCCTGCAGTATCTGGATGCCTAGCTATAGGGCAATAAGAAGGACTGGATTTAAAAGCTGTACATTTATAAGTGAGTTTGTAATTTTGACATAAATCGTGGACAGTGTCCAGTGTGGACACTGGACCCAGATCACTGAGGTAAACCTGCAACCTGGGTGATAGCTTCTGGACCCTATAAGCTTGGAAGAAAAAGGGGAGATATTAAGTCTTTATAAACTGAGGTTCCCCTTATGTGTACCCTCATTCCCCCTTACTCGTGATTGCAAGAGGAGTCGGCAGTGTCCTGAATCCTATGACAGGCTAAAGAGGGCTAACCCTGAGTATTGGTTGTTTGGCATGAAGGCCATTTAACAATGCTTGGTATTTCTTGGGGGAGGGGGAGACGGCAGTGACGAGCTGTCCCCACATTCATTAAAATTAAAATATTGCAGCCTTTCATTTCAAAATCCATCCCTCTGTTTCACTTTCCTATGTGCATATTTGTTTAAATAGGAAGACAAATGAACAAATTTCCCTGTCCCTCACCCCTGTGATTTACAAGCTCACATGCCTTTGGAATGTGACTTTTGTTACAGACTGAGGAGAGATTTTTATTTATTTAATTATTTATCTTTTGGTGGGAGCTCCCTTCCTTATTCAAATGTTGGCAACACATCACTCATCTTTATACTGTGTCATCATTATTTAACTGCAACCAGATACTTTTTAAGAAGAACCCTTTAACAGGGCTCACTTGCTAAACTGTTGAACCTTTTGTACTTGTTGATTTCTCTGTCATTTCATTCAACCAGTCAGATTAAACATAATTTCCGGTTTAATTTAATTAAATGTCTGGTGGGTATTTCTCATATGCAGAAGAAGTCTGGGTTGACTGAGCCCATTCTTTCCTTCCCAAGTCATTGGTTGGCTGCAATCCAGAACTAAATATAAAGATTCCTTCAAAAATCAAATTTACTCAGTAATAAGACTGGCCATGCAATATTTGTTGATGGTTAGCACAAAGTAAGCTTCTGAAGTGCTAGAGTTTGTTTCTTTTTCAGACAGTGGGAAAGCCCTGTCCCGCTTAATAAATTATTCATAAAGCGCTCTTTCCCCTGCTGTTAAAAAATAAATAAAACACAGCAGCAGGCCTCCAAACTAATTAGTAATAGACTATTTCCCAAATTCACTACTTTGCTGTATAGGCTCTTTTTTATTATTTTTTTGGAGTGGGACAGGAGAGAAAAATGAGTTGGGAGGTGGGGTCTTATTGTTTCATGTTTGCATGGTGGTCTAAATTATGTGGTACATTTATTAATCCAAAATATATTTGAATATTCAAACTGTCAAGGTTTCCTCCAGCAGCTGTATTTACAGAAAATGGTAGGCTGTTTACTTTAGTTTGGGCAGGATTATTTTCTTTGTAACTCAGAAGGATGTTAGACATTCACCTTTCTTGGTAAGTAGAAAATTTACACTAAGTATTAAAATCTCCAACCGAATCTAAAGAAAGCTTGGTAGGATTAAAAGCACAACTATAGTTATTATGTCTGCTAGTGCTAAATTCATTGCCCATTACTTAAATCCTGTACTCAGCAAATCCTTATTAAAATCTTCAGCTGTGTTTGTGTGGGCAGCTGAAGTGAGGCGGCAACAGACAGAGCTAGGAAGTGGGTGAGTCTTCTTAGAGTTTTCTCTGACTGGGAATTAAGTGCCAAGAGGATGAAAGAAGAGAGGTCAGATGATATGAGCAAATTGGCTTGGTCTATGCCAGATTTTTCTAAACAATTTCCCACCGCTGCTCTAGGAAATTGCACAGGGGGGAAAAAAATGGACAATGTAGACGTGGCCACTGAAGGTTAGCAAAGGTAGCAGTGAAAAGAGAAAATGCAAATGGACAGGTGAGATCTGGAGAAAATTTTATGTCTGAGATTTCTTTGAATGTCTCAGGGAGAGGTAGCAGATAAGCAAAAATTATGAATTTTAAAAATGTTTGTAACTTTTCTTTTTTGAGACACTCAGGTCTTGCCTGAGGCACCATTCCTGGAACAATGAGGCTGTTTGCTGCCTGGGTAGAGAAGCACATAAAGATTCTAGACTTGGACCCACTTCTACAATCTGTAAATCATTTTTCCATCTCATATAGAATATACCAATAGTATTTTATTTACTGGACTATGATTTTCTGTTATTATTACAATCATTAATACAAAGTAATTGTGTATCAATCTGAAGCTCAAGTTGTGGCGGATATGGTGAACATCTTGTCTGCTCATTTAATTGCCTCTTTGTTCATGGTCTCGTGAGGAGTTTTGGGAAAAATTTTATCCTTCTGTGTTAAGCCATGTTCTTGCCATATAAAATAGAGCACTTCTGCTGTGAGTATGAAAGCTAAGCAAATCATTTAAAGCAAATAAGTTTTACTTCTTTCTGTTATTAAGGTGTCTGCATTAAGATTGCAGTTTTCTAAAATATGTTTATTTCAGTATTCAGTGCAATATTTTCAAACTTTGGACTCAATTTGGAAACTGAAATCAAAATTTCAAGCTGTGTCACTTAGTGATATCAGTCACTTACAACATTTGGTAATGTTTCTGTCATTGACAGGATATGTATTCATATGATAATTAGGCTTCTGGTACAGTTAGTAAAAATATTCCAACAAAAATGTTTCCCACAAAAATAATTTTAATTTTGTCGGTAAACATTATTTTTATCTATTTTTCAGTGTAAAAGTTAAAAACAAAAACTAATTGTAATTTGAAATTTGTTTCAGTTTCAATCACATTTTTTCTTTCATTTTGGATTTAAAAAACTGAAGTGTTTGGTTTTGCTTTTCAGTTTCTCTCTCTCTTTGATGCTGTATACCCTTCTTTCCTCCTCCACGCTGAAAACAGAGAAGGAGGTGGTGGTGGTCGGTGAGAATGGGAAAAACTCTCACTAATTTCCCTTTTTTCTCAATTGAAAAAAACTGGAATTTTTTTGAAAGAAATGCAATAAGTAGAGGGAAAACAAGCTTTTCCAGTCTGGGGAGGGAAGTTCAGGGGATTTATAAAGGGAGCGAAGGGGAATGGGAAAAATACAGAAAGAGAAAACAGATGGCTTTCAAAGTTAAAAATAAAACAAAATATTCCAGTCAAATTGAAACAAAAATTTCTGAATGCTCATTAGAAACAAGTTTGTTCCCTGACCCTGAAAGCTCTTAGGTACTTGAATAACTTTGGGACTCCCAATGGCACTAGTCATGTGTGTAAAGTTATTCATGTGTATAAGTGGTTACAGTATCAAGACCTCAAAAATCACTTTCCATGAGATTCAGGCCTTTGAACCAGATACTCAGATGATGTAAATTTGCATGGCATCATTGAAGTTAATGATAAACTACGCCAATTTACACGAACTGGTCCTCAGATTAAATATGCTTTTCATGAACATTTATGGTAGTAAAACCTTTCTGTAAATATTTGTTCCATCAAGTAATATAAGAGGCACAAGCAAGTCTTAAAGAAATATATTAAAAATGTGAATGAACCCTGATGGATTTGTTTTTCCAACATGCACACCACTCTACACAACAGAAAAGTGTGCGTGTGTGGGGGGAGAAATTTTATAATAAACTGAAAAACTCAAAGAAAAGGATTCAAATGAAAGCAAAAGGTGAACTCTCTAGACCAGTGGTTCCCAAACTTGTTCTGCCGCTTGTGCAGGGAAAGCCCAATGGGAACTGCTGGAAGCGGCGTGGGCCAAGGAACGTACTGGCCACCACTTCCAGCAGCTCCCATTGGCCTGGAGCAGCGAACCACGGCCACTAGGAGCCGCGATCGGCCGAACCTGCAGACACGGCAGGTAAACAAACCAGCCCGGCCCACCAGGGGCTTTCCCTGCACAAGCGGTGGAACAAGTTTGGGAACCACTGGTCTAGACTTCTAACAACAATAATAATTTCTATTACCATATCACCTTGGAGATCTAATCATGGAAGCTCTTCACCTGAGCTCACTCCACTGTAGCATATATCAAGCATTAGAGAGTTAGAGACATTTCAATTTTAATGCCATTTGTCTATCTTGCAAAATTTATTTTTTGGGGGCCGGGGGGATTAATAGAATGTGATTTTATGGAGAGCCCGTCCTTTATGAAGAGGTTTGCACGGAAAGTATTTCATTCTTGCAAGAACTGGTAGTCCTTTTATGATAATTGCTTGAGTATGTAAGATTGCTTGTGTGTTGTGTTCCAGAAAACCCCATGAGTAATGTAGAAATGGGAGTTACATTTTTATTGTCTTCTTTTCTATGCAAAATTCATTCTGAGCCTACATTCTATTTTTTGTCCTTTGAAAACAAGGTTATTAAAAAAATCATCAAATATATTTAATAGAAAAAATGGAACAATATGTTTTCAAGTGAACTCTAAGTACAGTATCATACTGTCAGTTACCATGTGAGATCTTGCATAAATTACTTCAAAATCTCATGGGATACTGTGTGATATCATTTACTAAAGTGGATTTCAAG